AGGCTTTAATGTAACAATGATGGCATACGGACAGACAGGAGCAGGAAAAACATATACAATGATTGGATCACTTGACAAGGAAGAATTATTTGGATTAATTCCAAGAACTGCAAAGGAAATGTTTGAAATTATTAGAAGTGGAGATGAGAATATTGAATATAAGATTGGTTGTTCCTTCCTCGAAATTTATAATGAAAAAATCAATGATTTATTTGATAAGGAAAAGAGAGATTTAACTATAATTGATTCCCCAAAGAGAGGAGTTTACGTTGATAGATTAACAGAAGAATATGTCACAACCGAAGATGAAATGCTTGATATAATCAAAATAGGAAACAATAATAGGCTCTCACTGTCAACAAGAACAAATCAAGATCCTGCTCAATCCCATTCTATCTTCATCATTAGAGTTGAAAGTCTTAGCAAGGATAGTTCTTCGAATCAATCTACGATTCTCTACATGGATTTCAAATAAGATTATTCAACCATTGAGAATGAAAATGAAAAGAAATAAGTATAAGGAAGTTGATAACTCTGAAGTAAATCCTTTCAAGCAATAAATCTCAAATTACTATGTGGTTCAACTTGATTCAGTAAATTTAAACCTCATCATTTAATCATTTATTGTTGAAAAATTTAAAGAAATTCCAAGATTTGTTGTCTTCACAGTTTTTGTTAATGTATGTAATTAAATGTTGTTTACCATTTTCCTTTGCATACTTTTGAACGAATTCTATGGATGCCCCTTTTTTAATGAGATTTTGAGCCCACTCGGCACTGCCATTAATATCAGCCACAGTCACCAATGCATTACTCAACACATTACTCGATAAATTGCAATTATTGAATATCCACTCAAAAATAATAGTATTTCTATTCTCAATCGCAATTTCTAAAGGATAACCACAATCAATGCCTTGTTCTTCGTGAAAATGTGGATACTTATTCGAATACCATTGAATTGCTGGAAGATATTCAAGGACACAAGCTCTATGAAGAGGACCATTAATATAGTACATGTCTTTTGTTAAGGATATTTTCTGGCCATCTATGTTAATAGTTTCTAATTTTGGAGTTGACTTCAAGGCATCAATAATTTTTCCATTTTCCTCAATAATAGCAATAAAATACAAGTATTGTAAATTATTTGATAATACTGAATTAGTATTTTTCACATTAATATCTTCAAAATATTCCAATAAATTTGAATAATCAACATTGTCCAGTACGTCCAATAACTCTAAAACAGAAAATGATTTTACAGAAAATTCTTTAGCAATTCTGGCTAAATGTTCTGGTTCTTCTGATTTTTGTTGGTTGTAAGTAGTTGTGGCAATTTCAAACATTTGGTTATCATCTAATAGAGATGCAAAAGTCACTTGTCTGA